TATACAGAGATTGTTTCTACACAGGTGAATTTTAATTATCTTGTAGTCTTTCTTGAAAGAGAAAAGGAGAGTTTCAGTCTGTTTATTTATAGCGCGTTCACACTGTAGTATCTGAATGCCTTGCATGTATGTGATGCCAAATACACTGGCATAGACCCAGGCATCAGAACAGGTGGTGCCATTGAAGGTGGTGAGTAATAGGGCCTTAAATTGTAGTGTAGCTTCTGTTTTATGTAAGACAGGTTACACTTTTTTTCTAGGAAGTGAAAAAGAAACAAAGAGAACCTTTAGTCAGAAGGTAAGAAGAAGAAGAATAGACAGCAAAGACTTGGGGAAGAGATAAAATTTATATATGCCTGAAGTGCAGATGGGTAAGAGGGAACATGAGGGATTTCCTCACAGATCTCCTCGTTTGTTTGGGGGCTTCAGGTATTTCAGTTTTTGGGAATGAAATACAACAGATATCACTTCATCAGTCATGTAATACAATGTGTAACCCAGCCAACAGTAAGAAATAAACACATAATAGTTGTGACTCAGGAATTCTGAACTGTAAATGCAGCAGATTATAATGTACTTTCCTTTTATTATCTTTTATAGTTTAGGAAGGCCAGTGTAACAAACTGTTCTTTGTGCGGTTGTATTTTGTTTTGGGGTAGTCCTTAGTTATTTTCTGTGAAAATCGTAATATTATAGCATATGTTAAATTCTGTATAACTTGTGTCAAAATAATTTTTCCTGTAAATAGCAAGTTATGCAAGTGAAGCACCTATGAAATATTTCTGCATGCATGTGAAATATTTGGCACCTTACATTTTTCTGAGAAGTAACATCATGATGCATTTAGTATTAGACTAATTAGTCTGTTAGCAATAGGACTAAATCTCTTTAGTACGGAACTGTATAACAAGACATGAAATACTCTGACATACATCAGCTCAATTAAAAGTTAAATGGAATGGAAGAAATTGTAACAAGACCCTTGAAGACATGTTAAAACATCTTATTAAAAAAAGCTTATATTGAGATTTAGTTTCAAAGCTGGCAGCAATATCAACTATAGAATCATATAGTCTGTTATTTTGGAAGGAAACTCTTGAGGTCACCCCTTGCCCAAAGCGTGGTCAATTAGAGCAGGTTTTTCAGAGCCTTGTCCGGTCAAGTTTTGAATATCTTCAGGGCTGGATGTTTCACAGCCTCTCTAGGCTAATGTTTAACATGCCTTTGTTCTTCAACTTCAGGGTCCCCTATTTGCACATGATTCCTCTTGGAGATGTGAGTTCTCTAGATTTGCGTGTACTTATGCTGTTCCCTGCAATGCCCTAATGGATGTGCCAGTGAGAGTGCACCTCACAAGCTTGGGTTCGTGCACCTAAGGTGTGGGTTCTCATCCCTTGCTGCACCTTGTACAGACCACCTGCCAGCTGGAGTGCAGGAGCTTGCATCCTCCTGGAGGGGTGCTGTGCTGTCTGGCCTGGACAGATGCCATGATGCAGTAAGTGGGGTGACTTCTGGCAGTGTCAAACCAGGGTTTGACTGATGCCATTTCCTCTACAAGGTCTCTCCTACTGGTACAGACTTTCATATTTTTTATGCTTCTTTTCAAGAGGACTCCTTTATTTCAAACATTTCTTTCTAATTCCCTAGTTACTGTTTAATCTAACTGATGATCCTCTTGCTCTTCAACATGACCAGTTTTGGGCAAAGGTTCTGTCAGACAATTTTGCATATTTGATTCGCACACACAAAAATTCTTATCTTCACATTTGATATTATCCAGTCTATTTTGCCAAGGGTGGGCCTTGCAAGCATCCCCCACTCTGTGCCCCGCGTCACTAAGCAATGGCCCAACAGTTTTCTTAGTCTTTCTTTTGTTCTTAGTGTTCTTACAGTAGCCTTCCTCTTTGTCCCTGTCAACCTTTGCTGGTTTTGACTTCAGCCGAGCTTTGGCTTGCCTAACTTCTCCTTGTAGGCAAAGGCAACGTGTCTGTATACCTTCTAAGTAACGTGTCCCTGCTTCCTGTTTTTTGGGTTTGGGCTCAGTCAGGAGTTCTGTGCTCATCCTAGGTGAGAAGCGTGGCAGATGGCTGGCAGGAGTGCCACACTCACCTTCTTCCACAGTGACTGTGGCACAATTATGCTACAGCAAGACTGAGATGAAGTGCTTTTTACTCATTTAAAGCATCAGCATCTATTTTTTTAAAATTCACTACATATATACGTTAGTACTTACTGTCAGTCTGAACGTAGGTGTACTAAAAATAGCTATATAACCTATTACATTCAGTTCCCTGCATCAGTCTGCCAGCTAAGAGAATCTCACTGAATTAACAAACCAAAGTTAGTTCTGTCTTAGAAGTGGTATGTTGTTTAAAGGATGTCCACAAATGCAGTTCAGGTCTATGGCATGTGCAGTTATTGTGCAGTTTTTACTAATGTGGTAAATATTTAGTTAAGAAATATAACCCTCAACATACAAATTTAAAAAATTTCATTTCATGCTTAGTGACCTTTTTTAGTAGCTAGGTTTGAGTTCTGTTGTTTACATGAGCTGATCTATTGTAATAACATAATTTCCTGATTTTTCATTTTCTTTTTTTTGGCTAATATATAACTTTGTGAAAAAACTTCTGTAGTAAGGGCGTATTATTTTGTGTTGATGCAACTTCTGCTTTGGGCCCTACCTGCTTTTCTTATTTGAAGTCAACCAGTAAGAATTACTGAAAAAAGATGCAGATTTTTTGGAGACATTTCTTCCGAAGATGGGCAGCAACCTGTAGCTCTGAGCTTAAACCTTTGCCACAGAGATCTCCAAACTGCTTTCTGCATGTATATATCGAAATTAATCTGAGTATAACACGTAAGTTTGCTTGCTTCTTTTTAAGACTAAAAAGACAGACTCTTACGGCGTGGATTAATAGTGGCAATACTTGTCCCAGGCCTTATCTCAGTCTCCCTTTACCCTGAGTTTGAGCTCTGCTGTCCTACTTCCAAGACCCATCCCAATCTCTGATACGAGGCTGGAATCATATTTCTTCCTGAAAGTGTGCTGCTACCTAATACCAGAATTAAAGCCAAAACAAGCAAAAAAATCATGTTGCAGGGGAGTAAAAAAATAAATTGAACCATGAGCCAGAGGCAGATGGTGAAAACACTTCCTGGCAGGTGAGTCCTGTGTGTTGGTCCAAATGCCTCTATTTTATCCAACCACTCTGCACTACAAAATGAATGAGCAGCCTGTGGAGGAATGGATGAAATCCAGGGGATACTTATGTCCACTCTTCTCCATCAGGAGTGTGTTCGTTACTGGACAATAGAACTGCATCTTCTCTGGCCCCTTCAGATACTGTGGTTTTATTCCTCTACTGCTTGTCTGCAAACACTGCAAGCTCTCCTTTAAGGTTTTTTACATAATGGAGTTGTTGTGCACCTGCAGTATTGGGTATGTTTAGTTTTGGTCTCAGAATAGCAACTGGGAGTAAGATTATTGCATAACTGTTACATCTGTCCTATGCAGGAGCTTTTAAGAAGAGGGACATCCAGTTTCAAGTCTTTGTTGTCTTTTCTCTCATCAGCAAATATTCTATTTCCCTTACCTAAGCACTTAAAGAATAGTAAAATACCTGCAGAATTTGAAGCAGAATAAAAAACTTCCTGCCTGCAAGGAAAAGAGAGGACTAGTGGGATAGACTTATGGAGGAGAGAAGAAGTAAAAAAGCTAAAATTAAAAAAAAAAAAAAAAAAAACAAACCCAAACCCAAAAAAACAACTGTGATGCTACTTGGTATCTTTTAGTGCCAGAAAGTACCCCAGTGTATTTTGGCTTTGTGATTGCTGTATAAAAATAAAAGTAAAAACTGTGCTCGCACAAGAATACCGCTGTCACTTTTTTTTTATTTTCTCCCTTTGATTAAACTGTAAGGAATTCTTGAATGTTTGCTGGTTAGACCCAGTATGAAAGATGGTTCTTGCACCAGTTCAGTTGCAAAAGGATAGCCAATAGTAGTTCCCTTCTAGACCTTTTCTATTTGCGTGAAGAAAATTTTGTTCTAAATAAGGTGTTTTCCCTGTGTGGGACACTTACCTCATTTATATCAAATAGCTGGACTGCCACCCGACATTTGGAAAGACCTGGATGTCTGGAAGTAGGGTTTCTTTAGGATATGTGAAAAAACTAATTTAGATTATTTTTTGAGTAATGGTTTGCTGTCTGTGGCTGTATGTGCTATATTTTGGTTTGGTGGTGATTTTTATATTCTTGCAATTGATAACAGAAGTTTCTGGAAGAAGACTAAGAGGCTATTGTATGTATTATTCTGGGTATATGATGTTAGTATGTTTCTCCATTTCCCAAATTAGGAATCTCATTAGGCAAAAGAATGTTTGACTAGAAATGTCTTTACTTCTACGATAGTAAAACTTCTACTTTAGAAGACGATTGCTGTTCTTGTTCATGAATGAGAACAGCTGCATTAAAACGTAAATAAGCCTCACCTCCCTGCTTTGGTGCTTTGAAAAGTTTGCTGAATCTATCTTTTCTGTTTTGGCGAGAGCTCTTATGATCCTGTAAGTTTAATTCTTGAACACATTGCTGCCTATAGGTTTTCTTCACGTTCATAAAATTATATGGATACTTACTTTTAGGAGTTGTGAAAAGTGACAGGGTACCTAGGTATTGTCATTGAGCAAGGAGTGCTTGACAGTTGTGTATAACTTTGAAGCTGTAGGTAAACTGATGGGTTCTGTTCAGTAGAAAAATGCTGTGTATGCGCCTTGTAGGATGCAGTGGTGTTCTATAAAGCTGCTGCAAGATTTTGTGATAAAGTTTTCCCAGAAATAGAACTACTGGAGAAATTTGTGCCAATGGCATGTAGGTTTCTGAAGTATCATATAGCTAAAGAATTGGAAAATTTATCACATTTTGGGGTGTGAATTGCTTGTTTAGTTTTAATTCCAGATCTGAAAACTGAGCTTTTTCCCATCTGTTTTTGCAAATACAGAACCAGAGAATAAAAATGGGAACTCCTGGATCAGGACGGAAGAGAACTCCAGTGAAAGACAGGTTTTCGGCAGAAGATGAAGCTCTGAGTAACATTGCCAGAGAGGTTTGTTAATTTCAAATTGTCTTAAATTCAGAAATAGAGATGAAAGCAATCTCATTATCAAAACAAAAATTGAATTTTTTAAGCTGTGCATTAAAAAGTGTAATTAGCCAAAAATATGTCAATTAATACAAACTAGGAGTATTTTTGATCAAAAAAAATCACATTTACTGAAATGTCACAATGATGTATTAATTGTATGATTTGTGTAACTTCACGGGATCACACTTAAGCTTAGCAGATATTTCTACAGATAGGTATATGCTTAGCTAAAGATAAATGAGAAATCCAATTACTATCTCAGGTCTAAAACTAAAAAAAAATTCCAACATTTATCCCATTGCATTGTGTATTATTCTTAAGATAGTAAGTATAGTGTATTAGTGTTGAATGAGTAATAGTTATTATTAAAAGGTATTTGTAATATATTTTATTTCAAATGTGAAGTCACATTTCTGTCAAAATAAGCTTAACATGTATGCTATACCAGGACTTTCTTAACAGAGTCACCACCTGAAAAATAGACAGCTGGAGGTAACCAGCCAAAAATGTAATAAACAAGAAGTTGATACAAAGGGGAATTTTTGTCCCACAGGATATAGGGAGGAGGCAGCTGGAATTTAGAGTCTTACAGACATCTATTTGGACTTGAGCTTTTCTGGGAGGAAATGGTGTGACTTGGAAACAAAAGCCTTAGTATTGTTTGTATACAAGTGTATACAGAAGCTTTGAGCTACGCTATCTACAAAGCAGCTCACCCTAGTTGACAAAATGAGTGCAAAATGCAGATTCTAATTGGCCTTGTAATGTAAACTGTTGTCTATGTATGTGTGCATATAGTATATATACGTATATGTGTATGCAAGACAAAATAGGTAGGTGATAGGTCTTTGAAAACACAGCTTCTGTATGCCTTTTCAAATGTAGCTGTCATAGACTGTAGGCTAAGAAAATGCTCTGGCAGCAAAAAAATCATATTAATTTAGTTAGTTACTTTCCAGAGAGCTCTGTTAACACCAAATGTAATGGAAGTTCTTGCCCTACCGGATATGTTCTGTGTGGGGCTCTGGGTCATGTACTGTCTCACTCATCAAGTTCCATCTCCCAGTTTTGGGCAAAAGAGTTAACAAAGGAGAAGGAATCTGGCTTTACGTTTCTTTCTAGTATTCTGTGCATGGTTCCAGTATAGTAACATCAGCTTGCAACTTAGCCTAGGGAAAAGGGTCTCTATAGCATGGTGTAGTAAGTATTGACTGTCTTAAAATTACTGTGGTGCTTTGTTCTCTTACGTCTCTTACTTGGCGCTGGTGAGGCCACACCTTGAATACTGTGTTCAGTTTTGGGCCCCTCACTACAACAAAGACATTGAGGTGCTGGATCGTGTCCAAAGAAGAGCAACGAAGATGGTGAAGGGTCTAGAGGACAAGTGTTACGAGGAGCAGCTGAGGGAACTGGGGTGGTTTAGGCTGGAGAAAAGGAGGCTGAGGGGAGACCTTATCGCTCACTACAACTACCTGAAAGGGGGTTGTAGTGAGGTGGGTGTCGGTCTCTTCTCCCAAGTAACAAGGATAGGACAAGAGGAAATGGCCTCAAGTTGTGCCAGGGAAGGTTTAGATTGGGTATTAGGAAAAATTTCTTCACCGAAAGGGTTGTCAAGCATTGGAACAGGCTGCCCAGGGAAGTGGTTGAGTCATCCCTGGAGGTATTTAAAAGACATGTAGATGTGGACTTGGGGACATGGTTTAGTGGTAAACTTGGCAGTGCTAGGTTAATGGTTGGACTCAATGATCTTAAAGGTCTTTTCCAACCTTAATGATTCTATGATTGCTACCCCCCTCAATTAAAATTTGAGCATGAGCATAAATTAAACAAAAATGAAAGCATTTTTTCCCCCTTAATGCTAAATTAAACTGATACTAGGTCTCACAGCTAGAGGTGTTATCTTGCCGAGATAACCAAGTTGAATATGTCTATTCCAGGGATTAATGTATATTAAGTCTTTCCTCCTCTTCTGTCAAAAATGAGCTGGAAAATAACTTGCTCAAAAGCTCATAAAGCTTATTCAGTATTATGATATTAATCCAAATCTGCTGAAGATAACTAAAATTTTTTATGCTGATCAGCATTATCATTTAACGGGTAGGCATTTCATATTGTCTTTAACTGTTTTATGTCTATTAATAATTCTTAAAACCTATTTGAATTAAATTGTTCTAAATGTTCCTTCTGATTTTCTTACTGGAATTATTTTTTTCCCTTTCTAATATTCTGGCATTTTTCTGTATTTCGAGGGTCACTTTCATGGCTTGTTAGGGAGAAGAGAATTCAACGTATTTCAGAATAAAATGGTTTATCAACTTTACTACATGTTTTCAAAGTTGTGTATAGCACCATTTCTTCTTTTGTGTGGCCATATCCAGGTTTCACTTTAAGTCTTAATTTAAAACTGTTATCCAATTTTAAAAGAGTGTGAAAAGTTGTATGTCATCACAAATACAGTATTATCACAATAGGTACTACTGTCAGGTTGTTAATCCCTTCGTCTGTGTAGGAGAAGCTGGCCCTTGGATCCCATGTCAGCAGCTGTTGTCATTTAATTGGTAGCTGTAATTCATAGTATTACCCAACTTATTCTAAAGAAAACTTTTACTTTAAAGGAACAGAATGCATTTCTTGGGATATAACAGCAGAGGAACTAAGTTCTGTCTTTAAATAACATCTGATTTTACTGTGCCATACATATACCTTATTATTTGAGGCTGTGGAAAAGTTTTCAGTTACTGTGCCGATATAGGGCATGCCAGTTCTCAGCATATGAATATATAGAGTAGGTGTACTTTGCCATTCTGAGGCCATTATCTCAGCAACATGGCTTGCTTATCTTTTTATTGTCAGAGTGTTTTGTTCCTCAACTTCCTCTTCTGAAATTACCTTTTTAGCAGATGTTATAACAGTTGAATTGAGTCCCGTAATCCAGAAGTCAGATGTCTTGTGAGGAAAACGTTCCTAAAAGGTGTTCTAGGTATCAAGAGATGGTAAACAGAATATGCTGAAACAAAAGGCAAGCACTCAGAATGATCTGCATGGAAAAACTGCATAGAAGTATTCTGGGATTCAGAGCAGTCCAAAAATAGCACGAGGAATTATCAGAGTTTGTAATACTAGCAAAGACTTCTAGTGTAGCGTATGAAGTTTCAGGGTTTTTTTCTCCAAAAGTTCAGATTTCAGAAAGCACTAATCTTATTCTTTCTCACCACGCTAATTTGACAAAATTGAGATTTCCTTGTTCTATGGGACATGTCCAAAAAATGTGATATCTTCCTTTTGGTACCAACAAACATCTGCTTTCTAGGAAATTTTGTGTAAAGAATTCTTTGGTACTGATCCAATAAAATAATTTCTATATAGTCATTTTTCTGCACTGGTTGAATCTGATGTGTCATATGAAAATATTTAATGGAAGACAAGGGTACTAGCATAGGATCTGAAGGGCTTGGTCAAACTACTTCCTCCTTGTGAGATTTCTTTCATGTTTTGCATCTTTCCTCTGCATCAGAAAACTTCTCTGTCAGTTGTTTCTCCTCCCCTTTGCTTCTTATAGCACTAGCACTGTTATGTAGAGAGTTCTTTCATATCTTTTCCTTGCTGTGGGAGTTTGCATTGAGACAAGCTCTTCTGCAATGCTTCTGCACTGAACAAGGCACAAGTATGCTAAAACATCCACACTGGAGTGAATTACTGCCTTATTCCAAGAACTTCTGAGTTACCAGACCTCTTTCTTTGAGACCTACTTTGTATTCTGTTGTGTGTTATCCTTCCCAGCACTGAATTCCCTTGTGCTCACTGAAACTGAGGAAGAGTAAAGGTGATTTACATATCCAGGGACAGGGATCTACACATCCTTTTCTGGAAGCAATGCACTCTCCATATTATTCAGTGTCTTAAGTAAGAGTAGTTGCAGTTGATCAGTTTGGAAGTCTTACCTTGGTACAACAGAGAGGATTACCAGTTTATCATTTTTGTTTCAGAAGCTGTGGGAACAGGTGTAGGTATATCGTCCAGGTGTTCCCTGCAAGGAGAAAAGTAAGAATTCTTGAGTGTAAATGCACCCTACTACATTAAAGTGGAGTATTGGCCAGTGTTTTCTGATTATAGCAAGGTTAATCTGAAGTCAGCTTATCTCTTATTAAAAAAAAAAAATTAAAAAATGCCTCTCTCCTGAAAATATGAAGAGTTCCTTTATACCACCTTCTGGTTCCTTCTTTAGCTGTTGTAACGGATTCTGAAGCTGTTAGCTTTCTCAAATTGACAATAAGCCAGCTGGTATGGAAGACAGTTTCTTCTGTCTCGTGGAAAGTTCTGCCTTTCCAAATAACAGATGGGGATTGTCTAGTGTGACTTCAGGTTCCTGTCAAGATTAGGTTCTTATGCGGGAATCCTTTTTGTTTAACAAATATATAAAAATTGAGTTTCATATTCTCAAGGTTATGTTCACAGTCTACACTGGATACAGCTGATATGATCTCAAGATCTGTTTTCCCTGTGGTTTTGTTGTGGAGATTCTCTGCTTATAAAGTTGTTTTGTGGACAGTGTATCTTCAGCTGACATCTGCATCGCTGCTTCGCTTGTCTTTGTAATTTGCAGACAAGTTGTTGTGTTCATCTTACATATGCAGCAGTAACCTGTCATCACTGGGCATCTCTTACGATTACTTGAGACCTCTTTCTCCAAGACCAGCCTTACATGCCACAGCAAAAGTTTTAGTCACTTCTGTGTTGTTACGTTGACTTCAGTTCAAGCTCAGATACAGTGAACATCATGCCAGAAAGTGAGAAGAGTCTGACTCTTGTCATCTCACCAGCCTCAACCCGATAAGTAGCAGTGTGAAGGGACAATCAGGATTTACATTTATATCCTTTCTTTCCGTGCTTGCATTAGCAACTCTTCCACTCTTCAGGGCTGAATAACTCTAGATGACAAAGAACTAGAGCTTGTGGACAAG